CAGAAACCTATATAAAAAGTGAAAGACAGATAAAACTTCAACTCATGAACCTTGCATCCTTTTCAGAAGGGTCACATAAGTATGAGAAAATGCTGTTGGATGAAGAACAGTATTTATGGCTAATGAAGAATGAGCTAACAGATTCTGCATATCCCCCATAACGAACCAATATCCATGTTGCGTCATCGTCTGGAACATGGCTGTATAACGGTGATCTGCTAGAACTAAGAAAGATGGGACAACTGCTACGTGAGAGCAAAACAGTACAAATATTCGAGTGGAAATAAGCAGGACGAGAACCAATAATCGTATCACAAAGGGCAATTTTATCTTTGAGGACAGCAACCCTATTTTGAGGAATTGAGGACAAAAAATGTTAGGTAAGCAAAGTGCTATGCAATAGAAACCATGCTCTTCTTTTCCCTTGCTCTGATACTACAAAGTGAAAACTCCGACTACAAATTCACGGCGAAGGGAGAGCAGGCAGCAGTTTGCATCCATCGCCGTTTCCTCATTTTAGTCCTATATCACCCGGACAATTTAAAAATCAAGCTGGAGAAGCTTCAATGAGGAACTGGATATCAAAAATTGAGCCCATCCGCTGTCCCCTTCACCAGCTACCCCTAACTATTGATTGTTTTCTTTTCTGACCTTCCCTCTAATCGCTAAGCTGCGTTTATTCTTTGCGTCGGCGTTCTGAGCGTATGGCAGCGTTTTGAGAGTGCGCGAGCATTTTAACGACTACGAAAGATATCATTCTAGCGTTTTGAGCGTACGCAGACATGCCTCGCACATGCTGGATCGACATCTATTCTTTCGCAGTCGCTCAAAACACTAAGAACGCTATCGTGCGCTCAATACACTGACGCAAAGCATGAACGCATTCTGACAAAAGCCATTCAACTATTACAGCAATGTAAGCTACGTGATACGCAGAAGTGTGTTTTTGGGGTTCACAGAAGATATGAAGGACTCCTACGTAATGATGCCAAGGAGAAACACCTCAACGTACCGCATTCCTTTCGAGATACATCACATCCCAGTCGCATTGGTTATCTTCAAGTTGCTTTGGATTCGTGCACAATAAGAAAAAAGGATCTAGAAACCAAAAATGTTAGTTGACAAACGTAAATGCAGCAGCTATGTCCAAATATCACTCACCTAGGGTCATTTCTGTCTTGTGAAGCTTTTCGGCTAACAGATAACATCCAGTATTTAAAACCACGTTTACGAGATCACAGTTATCGTTTAGACGTTTACATAGAGCCTCTGACGATAACATCTGAAAATGATCCTTATCTGCTGTTAGGCTGCGCTCAAACTTTGCGGCTTGGCGTTTTGGGATAACCAGGGATTCTAAGCGAACCGGGGCTTCCAACGAGAAGTAAGGTATAGATATTGATCTGACGTTTTCAAAAGCCAGCGTTTACGCCGTTTACGCGAAAAGGAAAGTATCAGCATCGATCGGTGCTTGAAAAGTCGACTCTATCAACATGCTCTCGAAACGCTAATTTTCTTAGAACGCCGACTCGCATGGTATGAACGCCACCTTGAATGTTCTCCACGATTCAGGTTATATAGCCTAGTTTCGGCACAGAGCAACTTTGACAGAAAGTCCTGCCTTCAAATTCTACCCTTAGCTATGACCTTACCCAGAAGCTATGTCTCACCCTCACTGCGCAGTCTTCATATACGATACCTCTGTTACACTTCAACTAGAAGCTATTCAAGCCAATGGGTTCCACATCAT